TCGATGAGCCCTCCTCTATCTGCTCCCCCTTGGAGATTGGATTGCACAGGAAATGGTCTGAGAGATGCTCAGCTCCTTGTCCCGGCAGGTGCCACACAATAAGGACACAGGAGGTGAATGTTGGAGACACGTGGCTTGTCCCGGCTGCCGGGGCTTCCAGAGGACTAACCCACAGGGCATCTTCTGGCTTGGCTCCTTTTGCCCAGGGAAGAAAAGTGGAGAAAGGCATTTGTTTCAAATGGCTGAGCGGTGCCATGCTGCTGGCTCACTAATAAGGGTTTACAATTTCCTGCATGAAATGCCCTTTTCTTCCCATGCCTCCCCTGCCACTGACAATACGTGGTTGGCTGGCAGCTTCCTGGCACCAGGTGTGAGCAAGGCGAGATGAAGTGAGAGGGGGAGACCAGGTGTTCTGACTCACATTTCCCCCTGGACACAGTACCTCTCTCATATGTGCTCATGTGTCTTCTCACACATGCTTAACATGGCTGGCTTTTAGTGTGCAAGCCTCCTGAGGCTGGTTCTAGAGGATAAGATGTGTTATTGAAGAAGGGGCCTCACCTGGCCTGGGCACCAGTCAGCCTCTCTTGGCCTTGGTTTCCTCCGTTGGAAAAATGAGAGGCATAATGCCCACCTTGCATGGTTAAATGGGATAAGTGCTGAGGGATGATGGGAGGTCTGTGGATAGCACCCCTCCTTCCCACCTGAGTTTGGGACCACTCAAGAGATGCCATGGGACTCAGACACGTGGGGGTGAAAGTATCAGCTTCGTTGCAGACAAAGTTGATTGAAGAACTTGGCTTTAGCTCTGCACTCAAAGGGCTTGCTAACACTTCAGCTTTGAAATGGAATCACCCTAAGGATATAGGCTCACCTGCAAGTCTCCTCTCCACTGGCCAGACCCCTGGCCATGGCAGGGAGTGGACTGAGTACAAGCCCTCTATGGGCAGATCCAGAAGCCTGGTGGGAACCCAGAAGGGGCTGAACTAAGCACACTGGCATCTCCTTCCAAACAGCTCATCAGACAGGTCACTTCTGCATGAGTGAGGCTATGGAGGGAGGCTGGGAGAGTCACTCTCAGACCAATGAGAGTCCTGGTCTCTGCAAGGAGAGGAGGCCAGACGAAAAGGAGGCTCCTGTAAGCAATGAGATCAACAAACGCAGAGCCCAGTGCCCATAGAGCTTCGCATCCTGTCACTCCTCCACCGCCCCCCTCTCCTTCCGCTCTGCCTTCCCCCTCATCCCACCCTCCTGTAGAGGGAGTAACGGACTAGCATGCCTCACAGGCCGTGGGTACTTTGTGACCCATTCATTCCTGAGTGTGAGGTGCTCTGGGCAATGTGCTAAATTCAGGGAAACAGTGCCAAAAAAGCCTGGTCCCTGTGCACAGAGAGATGGCTGGCTGGTGGGGAGAAAAGACCAGGAGAGAAAGGATCCCTGTGTCGTGAGGAAAGTGTTGCCAGAGCCTCAGAAAGGGAATCTTGCTTCTGGAAATGGGTCATCTTGGTTCAACTCCCAGCTCTACCATAGCCTGGGAAATGTTCTTTAATCTCGATGAGTCTCAGGGTCCAGATCTGTCGAAGACGCCTCCTACAAATACCTACCTCGAAAGTAGGCATCTTATCAACACTATTATATTGAGGGGTACCAGGGACCAAAAAAAGTGTTACCCAACTCAGTCTTCCAGAGTTAGGGGGGCTTCTAAGAGCAAGAGCATGAGTCTAAATCAGCACTGTGGACATTTGGGGCCAGGTCTCTCTTTGTGTGGGGGCCGTCCTGTGCCTTGGAAGAGGCTGAGCACCATCCTTGGCCTCTAGATGCCAGTAGCATCTCTCCCAGTTGTGACAACCAGAAGTGTCTCCTGACATTGTTAAATGTCCCCAGGGGAGCAGCGTTGCCCCGATTGAGAAGCATGATCCACACTGAGAAGGGAAGGGTGGACAAGAGCAGAGAGGTGGGAATAGGGGATGTTGTAAGTGAACTGGTGATAATATCGAGCTCCTTGGGAATGTAAGGTCCACGTCCAGGGCGAAAAATGGATCCGCAGGAGTGGATTATCTAGGGTACTGGTCATGGCACATGACATCAAACTCCAGCCCCCTTTTGATTGTCCCAAACTCAGGTGAACCATCTAGGGCGACCTCTTCCACAGAATCCTAGCTTCTGGCATGGGGCAGATGTGTGGTCGAAGCCTACTGAGTATCTGTGGGTGAGCTCACATTGGTGACGTGATCTGTGATGGCATTCACGTGCGTCCTCTCCAGTTATCTTTTCATGAAGAAAGCTCATCCGTGGGCAGGACACCAGACCACTTTCCTTTCCCCCACATAGCACTGCTTTTACAGGTTTGGACTTTGATGTCTTCAGTGTATATTGAAGAACATGATACCAAAATAAAAAAAAAAAATCCCTGTTAAACATGTTACTCTGTGTAGAGCTATTTTTTGTAGATCATTGTTTGCCAAATTACAAAATGCCATCTTTGTAAGAAGCTAGTGGGAGAAATTTCCTTCTGGCTTCAGTACCAGGAATAATCATGCTTTTCCTAAACAATTGGGTTTTTTTTTTCCACATTGACCCTGAATCATAAAGCTGATCATGTTTCTCACTTTATTCTGGTTGCCAGGAAGGTTAAGTTTGCATTTATGGCCTATTTCAGGCAAGCTCTTTGAGCATGAATTGGAGTATTTTTGCCTGCTTACATTTTCTTGAATTCCCTCTTTATTCTTTGACCTAATCTATGGCATACTTATTTTTAATTTTATTAAGTTATATGTATTTTGCAAATAACTTTTAAAGCTTTTTGGAAAAAGATTGGAAATTAGTAAAAAAAACAACAACAAAAAATGTCTTAAACCAGACATTGGGTTCTTTGTGCTGGTCCGTTTTGATGTCCAGGCCAGGACTGATACCTTCCAAACTCCTCAATGTCTTTGATGTTGGAAGGAGAGCCCAATTACCCAGATTTCTCCGTGGGTTGGCATTATGATGATAGAATATAGATTTCTCACTTGTGGTCTTCATCATTTCCATGACAATGTGCAGCATTATCATGAGAACATACTTATAATTCCAGTCCAAGAAGAGGCAAAAGGAACAATGGCACAAAGCTTTGGAATAGCGCAAAACTGCAGAGATAGATGAAAGGTCATTCTCTGTTCTCTGATAACAGCATTGAGTCTCCTTGGGGATGTAGAGTCCATGACCCAGGGCAAAAAAAAAATGGATCTGCAGCAAGAGAAAGCCACAACATGACTTATTGCTTAAATTATTGTTCTCTTTGCATTTTGGATTTCCTTTTTAGAATTCATTCTGGTCTTCAAGTTTCTCTCCTAAAAATTCATGTTGCTCCTCCAAAGAGTTCTGGTGGAATATTGAATGAGATACCCTTTGACAGTCTAGCTGTGAATGAGGGTGCAGAACTCACTGGTTATTAATGTAATGTTTCAATAGTCTTTCAAGTATTAGAATACAAATTGGGCATCTGTAGGAGGTATTTATAGCTGATTCCTGTGGTTCCTTTCTGAGCATCTGAACACTGTCCCCTAGTAGCAAATATGTGGAAAGATGTATCAGATGACTCTTTTGGCTCCAAATGACAGAAACGCTGTGTCAAGTAGCTAAGGTCAGAAAGCAGAGTCTTTTGCCCATGAAAACACGAAGTTCAGGCTTCTGCCCGGGATGGAGCCAGCACCTAGGACAGGGCCCCTCTCTGTGTGTGTTTAGCTCAGCCTGCTTGACATTTTGCAATGCTGAGATTCTACTTTACAATTGTGTAACACCATTCTGAGGTTCATATGTTGGCTCTTCAGTCCTTAGGAAGCCTAAATGCATTTTTGTAAAAACGAACTAAATACTGCGTCAGTTCTCTATGACTGAAAAGAAAAAAAAAAAAAAAAATCCCTCCCAACCTCCGTGGCTTAAAACACAGCTGTTTTATTATCTTGCATTCTGTGTGTTGACTGGGCTTGGCTGGGCAGTTTTCTGCTCTGCGTGATGTCAGCTGGAGCTACAGTGGCTCCCAGTACCTGAGTCGGCTTGCTACTGTGGCGGCCAATTGTTGCTGGTTGTTCCTGGTGGCTCAGCCAGGGCTGTTGACTGCAGCTCCTTTGTTTTCCTTTTCATGGCCTCTCCATGGGGCTTGGGCTCTGGCTGGGTCCTGGGAGGCAGTTTAAGTAGAAACTTCCAGTTCTCTTGAGGCCTGGGTGTGGACTTGCCAGAGCATCGCTGCATTCAAGGGATGCAGAACCAAGCTCCACGTGGGGAGGGGCACGTGGGGTGAGGGAACCGAGGAATGTTGGGGCAGGGGATGCAGCTTTGGAGGCTACCTACTACAAGTCCTGAAAATACCCCATTAAAGCAGTTACTAAAGACAAAGTGATATATACGAGGGAATAGTACTCAGCCATCAAAAAGAATGAAAGTTTGCCATTTGCAACAACATAAGTGGAGCTAGAGGGTATTATGCTAAGCAAAATAATTCAGTCAGAGAAAGACAAATACCATATGATTTCACTCATATGTGGAATATAAGAAACAAAACAAATGAGCAAAGGAGGGGAAAAGGAGAGATAAATCAAGAAACAGACTCTTAAGTCCAGAGAACAAACTGAAGGTTATAGAGGGGAGGTGGGTGGGGGGATGGATGGAATAGATGATGGGGGTTAAGGAGAGCACTTGTGATGAGCACCAGATGTATGCAAGTGTTGAGTTGCCATATTGTACACTTGAAACTAATATTACGCTGTATGTTAACCAACTGGAATTTAAATAAAAACTTCAAAAAAATTTAAAAAATAAAAACAAAGTCATATTTTGGTGTCTGGTATTGGTTAAAATACCATTCACTGGCCAGAGCCGGTTGATGGTGCACTGTGACTTCAGTGGTCCAGGTGCATCTCTCTGAGCCTCAGGTTGCTCTTCTGTAGAATGGGGGCATCGGCCTTGAGGATGTTGGAGTGTCTCCATCCCTCACCTCCTCTGTCCCTCTGCGCCCGCAGGTACTCCTTCCAGGACGAGGAGGACATGTTCATGGTGGTGGACCTGCTCCTGGGCGGGGACCTGCGCTACCACCTGCAGCAGAACGTCCACTTCACCGAGGGGGCAGTGAAGCTGTACATTTGTGAGCTGGCGCTGGCCCTGGAGTACCTGCAGAGGTTCCATATCATCCACAGGTGACTGGGCTGCTGGAGGGGTGCCTGGGGACGGAGGCCCACTGGGCAGCAGCGCGTGGTGGGAGCAGTCCGCCGAGGCACAGGGCATTCTCTTGCTGACATCGTTAGAAGTGGCAGCACACAGAGCTGAGGAACAGCAGAACAACGCATTGCCTCTCCTACGTTCTCAGCAGACAGCCCGCTCCCTTGTCACCTGTGTCAGAGGGGGAACACCCCACTGCGGGGAGACGTGGCTGGCGGCTGACCTTGGCGTCTCTCTTCCAGCCTGACTTTGGGAGGCTGCAATGTTCTGTCCCTCCATTCTCAGGTTAGAAAGGTCATGTGGCATTAGTTGGGAGGGTGAGGGAATCTACTCTCTTCCTTTCCATACTTTGAAATTAGTGCTGTGCCTCGTGGAAGATCTCTCTCTCTCTTGGGAAGCTTCAGTGCTGGCCCTGGGCTTTGGTTATAAGCTCTGAATTTCTGCCTCTCCTTCCGGGCCTTTGCTTCTCCCCGCCGTGCACAGCCCTGCACTCCAACCAGGCAGGCAAAGTGAGTCTGTCTGCAGAGGCAGGAGGCCAGGGAGAGACTTTGGAAAGCTATGGTATCACGAACAAATTCTTCTTGCTCTTCCCAGCTAGCTAGAGGAGGGGGCTAGCGTGAGTGGCTCCAGATTTGTTCACCTGCGGTCTCGCACTGTGCCTAGCAGCTCTTCTTCTAACTTAGACCATTTCGGAAGACGTGGTAAAGAAAGTCTTGACTTTCTAGGTAAAGATGGTAGATTAGGCGCACACACATGCACAGACATGTACAGTTTGTCCCTCCTGAAACCACAGTAAAGCGACAACAAGCATATATGAAAAATGACAAACTCCCAAGGATGGGGAAGACTAAAAAGGAGACTAGAGAAACATTGGGGGGGGGTTCTGAAAGAAGAGGGAGAGCGGTGAATGATTAGTGTCCAAGAACATAAATTCCAGGCTGTCACTGGGGCGAGCGCTGATGGACGCCAAAGAATCCCCTAATGGTGCAGGAATTGGTAGTAATCAGCATCTTTGGAGGGAAGATGGTAGGTAAAAAAGAGGCTGAAGTAAGGTGAATTGTTTGAAAGCCTTTTAAGAAGTCCTGAGGACCCCAGAGCTGCTTGCCCGCTGTGAATAACTCGATGGCTGAATAATCATCTGAGTAACTTCACCCAAGCAGAACACTAAGGTTTGCTCCCTAGAGATAGTACAATAGCGAGTGTCTGCGCTGAAGGACATCAAGCCTACTCGAGTTGGGGTGCTGTACTGAAAATAGTATACAAGCCAGATGCTAAAATACACAGCCTCTCCCCCTTCCAGCTGAACTCTGAGAGTGGTGCATTCAGGCCTTCCTCCAGGCAGGACACTGTGATTTCAGTGAGGATGTGACTTCAGTGGGGATGAGCCAAGGGCAAGAGACTGTGACATCATAGCTTCCCCACCACCCCTTAGCATGTAGTTCTCAGCCAACAAGCCCCACTCACTTGCTGGAAGCTGCCAACTAGTTTACTGACAACCAAGGGTTATCAGACATCCCAGGAAATCTTCCAGAAGAAACAGTGAGATTCAAACAATCAAATGGAAATGAGGGGAAAAAAATCTTGGAATAAACAGACACTATGCAAGGAGAAAAAAATATCCAAATAACTATGATCAGTATAAAGAGATTTTTGTGATTATAAAATGAGGAACACCATGTTTATTTAAAATTCAGAGAACAAACATCAGAGCTCTTATAAGTTAAAAATATGACAGTAGAAATGAAAAACTCAGAAGATGTATTAGAAGACAAAGTTGACATCCCTCATATAGTAAAACAGAAAGACGAAGAAAATATGAGAGAAGATATAAGAAAATGCCAGAACCAATCCTGTAATCCAAGCATCAGAAGAGAGAAAACTTAGCGGGAGAAATCATCAATGAATTAATTACAGAATGTCTCCAGGACCTGAAACACATGAATTTCCAGATTGAAGGGCTTACTAGAGATACAATGCAGAGACCAGAAACAGATACCTGTCAAAACAAACCAGATCCCATAAGCTTCCACAGAAGAGCAGCAGGCCATAAAGGCTGAGGAATCAGATTGTTTGGGGTTTGTCAGGCACTAGAAGGCAGTGGAGATGTGCTAGTCAGTCAAGTGTGAGGGTGCACGTTTTCACAAGTTCAAGGTCTCCAAAAAAACATGCCTCATGTTCACCTTTTCTCAAGTAACTATCAGGAAAGAAGTGGACTCCATAAAAATGAAGGACTAAGTCATGAAGAAGGAAGAGATGGAAGATGGAGGTGGGGCTCTGGCAGAGGCGAGAGGCATAGGGAATCTCCAGGATGGTGATGAAGGGAGGTTCGAGGTTGTCGGCTCTGCCTATGGTGTAGGCCCTGACCAGTGCTGTCTGTGTGCATCAGAAGACCCTAGGACAGACTTCTTCAGGAAGCGTGGGCTGATGGCATTCTTGATGCATCTGGGTGCCTTGACAGGAAGTTCTTTAGCTGGTGAAGAATCTGAAGTTGAATAACTGAGAAGTTTAGAGAAAAAGCTCAGCAAAAAATGACAGACAGTTACTAACTCCAGGGAATGGAAGTGTTGTGCAGGATGTCATCCGTGTGTAGTACAGCTCACGACATGAACCAGCTCTGTATGGCATAATCATCATCATGGCAGCCCTGGAAGTCAGTCTAACCAAAAATATAACACTCCATTGGGGAATGGCAGAATGCGAGGATGAGCATGTCTCCTGGGGGTTTTGGGGAGGAAAGACGGCTACAGCCTCATCTTCCACAGTGGGAGGCTGACGGAGGGAGCCTGAAATGCAAAAGTTAGCTCTGTCATTGAGAGAGAAGGTGCTAAACATACCAAAATTGTCACCTGAACGGGATGGAGAGGGAGAGATGGGGAGAAAGTGATAGGGGTTGTTGCTGTATTATAACAAAACTTGCAGAAGTATTGATCCTTTGAATTATATCCATGCATAATTATAATACAAATAACAAACACAACACAATGAATAAGAACAAGAAGGAAGAAGAGGAAGTTGTAGTTGGGATAGTAGTAGTATATAGTGGAAAAGGGGTTGTTTGGTGCAATGCAGAGAGTGTTCACTGAGGGCCCGTTGTTCATTCACTCAGTCACTCACCAGGCTTCGCACACAGCTGTTCTGGCTCTGGATTCTGTGTTTGCAAGCACTGTGGGATATTTGTTGAGGAAGGTCACCCCATGCCAGAGCTCTGTGGGCCAGCTGGGCTTTTTTGAAGGTGCTTAAAGGAGCAAGTTCTTTCCCAATCTGTTATACGAATGTCATTCATGAATTATCACAGCCATTTCTGCACTAGTGTGCAATAGATGACCAACTTGCCTAATTTCCCCCAGACACTGAGTCATGTGGACATGGGTGAGATGGATGAGCCAGGGATAGACCGGGCAGACAATGGAAATGTCCCAAGAGAGCGTGATGGTTGGAACCACTTTTTTACTTCAGCAAATGTTTTTAAGTCACTCGATGTGAGGTCATCTGTCCTCAGATTCTGGATCTAGAGAAAATAAGCTAGCCAACAATTTAAAATTTTTAAAAATCCACTAAATGGGATTGTCTCACTACTTCTAAAATGGTAGACTTGGCAGAGATTTGAGTCAGCTTTTTTCCCTCCCATATACTTCAATAAATCCCTTTTTCAATATGTTTGTGTGTTCAGACTTGAAATTATGTGTCTTACACACTGTGCATAAGGATATATGATAATGCTGTGCAACATGTTTTGTTAATTCAACAAATGAATTTATAAATCTCCCATTCCTTATGTGTCAGAACTCCCGATGCCATATTTCATACAAAGGAATGTTGCTTTTTTCAAAGTAGCCACACTCAAGGGGGCGCCTGGGTGATGTAGTCGGTTAAGCGTCTGACTCCTGGTTTCAGCTCGGGTCATGGTCTCAGGTCATGAGATTGAGCCCTGTGTCAGGCTCTGTGCTCATTGCTCTCTCTCTCCAAAATAAATAAATCTTAAAAAAAAAAAAAAAGTATTGTATGGTGACTAATATAACATAATAAAATTAAATTAAATTTAAAAAAAAAGTCTCTGCTGGGGCCCAAAGTCGTGTGCCACAGACATGAAGTTCCTTTGAAAGCTCATGTTTGATGTGAAAAATGTCTTGACATTTTTCATTCCACTCCATTATGTAGTCATGATTCTTTTGATACATAAGATCATACTTTACCTTTCATCAAGAAAAGAGGAAATGAACAATAATGGCTTCTTGGAGTCTCCTCGGTCTGTGGCAGATGCTGTTGCATAATGTTCATCTATTCGGGGAAAATGAGTTGATTTGAGGGAAGCTCGTGGCTCAGGGGAGGCCAGGCCACAAGGAACCCTCTTGCATTTTTAGATACAGTTCAGTCGCATAAATATGAGCCTATAAAGGGCAACCATTTATTCACTGTTTTGAACTGAGCATTGATCTAAATGCCAATCAGAGTGGGTTTGGGGCAGCATTTTCAAGCTTCTTTTGGAGAAAATTTTCACCAGTGGGGTTACTACTATCAGATTTTGCTTTGAAAATGCCTGAACCCCGCCAGGACGGTGTCTTTGACCCCCTTGGGAAGCGCTCTGACATGTTCTGTACTTTCCTGTGCTTCTGGCCCTGATTTTGCCTCACATGTAAATTAATGCACAGTCTCAAAGCTTCGTGGTCCCAGTGATGCCTCACCTCATCAGACCCACAGTTGTCCCTCCTTTGGAGGCAGGAGTCCCATCAGGTACAGGAGAAACCTCCCAGCTTGGCCTTGGAGTTGTGGGCTGTGAACATACTCAACCCTGACAAAACAGCTGCTTACTGTCAAATTTTTGTCAGGATTAATTTTTTTTTTTTGTAACCTTTTTACTTCGGGAAAAACCTTTTTATCTTTAGGACCAATAATAGTTTAATCCTGCCGGTTTAACACTAGCAGTCTTCTTTCTTTACTTAGACTAGCCTTATCTATGCAGCAAGCAACCCTTTTGCTA